TAACCACCGTTTTTGCAGGACAAAATGCTGGGATTAGGGGTATATGAGTGGGTCTACATAAGCTACTTTTGCCATCGTCAACCCCCCCCCCTCCCGGAACAACGGCGAGCGTGTGTACGTAGGGGGGAGTGTGTCCCAACCTCGGGCGAGGTCATTGAGGTACATTTTCTAGTGCTACCACCAATACCAACTAGAAAAAGGATAACGCAGTATAAAAGTTGGAAGATTGTGGAAATCACTCTATTTAAAATGTGTAATTAAGCGATTGTTCCCGCGGTCAATTTAAAAAGTCAATTTTGCTTAATACACTGACTAAAGCGGTTTTTTATGAGGCGGCTTTCCGAGGACAACTCTGCAATTCAATGCCATCATCCAATCCCTGCTCGGTCGACGAATGGCGTGTAGAAAACTGGAAGATTATGGGTAATTCAGCCTACTTAAAACATTTAAGTAGGTGGCTATAATGCGTAAGGACCTTTCGAAGACCTCACTTGGAAACCCTACCAGCAGTAAAAGGGCAGTTAAGCAGCTTACATTGTCGACACTGTGAAAGGTAAGAATCCGTAGGAATATGTGGACAAAGCAAGTGCACGGATTTACCTCGTTGACAAGCAGATGAATGGTGATTTTGGGCACTAGATCACGCTGGGTTTTGTTAACAATTTTCATGTAGGACGTCACGAGGTTTCGGATGGTTTCTACCTGCCTCTCCAGTGCGGGATCTGTATTCTGCTCCTTGTCTTCGTCCTGGAAGGAAAAAGCAAGGCGGTTAAGCATACGAAACTGGGGAAAAAATCAGCTTGCAGTCGACCTTGGTAACTTAAAGACCCCTGGGTTGTGGGAGCTTTCAAGCCAACAGGACGTTGTAGGGATGAAAATTCAATTGGCACTTAATACGTTACCTATGGGTAGGGGGGTAAATAACTGGGCGCCAGGGTTGTCAATTCCCATAGAACACTTTTGTATTCATCACAAAGTAAACGGACCAAAGTGATCCGGCGATCTCTACAGTATAAACGCTGCGTCAACCAACCTACACTGTGATCACAGGCTCCGATCACGCATTGATCTGATCCGACACCTGCGAGTCCTTCATAATGCAAATAGAGCCAGGAATTTCTGTTAACAATCATGAAACGTCCCTAACCTGTTCGTTCACCACCTGTCTATCATGCGAAGTTGGCAATCGTGGACCACGCCTGGCGGGTTATTGTGGATTATTTGATAGCTACTGTTTCCGTGAGCTGTAAGATGAACTCCCTCCTAGCCACGGCAGTTCAACCGCGAGATTGACTATGTCCACTACATGCTTTACAGTAGTCTAGAAGCAAAGGCAGTGACTAGCTCGTGAATTAGCTTGTAATTAGAGTATTAGTAGTAGTATGTATGTTAAGTAGTATGTATTTTCATCATGGATTTTGACTGTCTTTATAAATTCAAATATATTCTATGGAAAACATGCACGAAAAATTATTTCTTGTAGTCCTTTGATAGCAAATCGCGCCTTCCTTAAATTTTATACTTAAAAAAGGACTATCTTTCGGTTTTAAAAAAGTTTTTAAATTGCTGAATAACTTTGAAACCTACGGACTGCTACACTTGAATTCAAGGTTTACAAACTGCGCGCTGTGTACATTCTGTTTAAGGAAAAGTACGTTTTTGCCTACGGCTTGAGTAAGAAGTCACATAATTCTCACAAAATACTGCAAAAGATGTGGAAATTGCTGTACACATTACAGGCAGCATTAATAAATTTACGGATGTGATGTATAATGAAGGACCACCTCACAATCATAAAAAATCTCATAATTAGAAACTTTTTAAAACCGAAAGATACTCCTTCTTTAAGTATAAAATTTAAAGAAGGCACAATTTGCTACCAAAAGACTACAAGAAATGATTTTGTCGTGCATGTTTTCCATAGAATATACTTGAATATATAAAGACAGTCAAAGTCCATGACAAAAATGCATACTAATTAAGTAGCCACTTTTTACAGTACATACATTAATTAGCTGTCAAAAATAAGCTGCTTAAAACGTCGGTGTCCTGACCTGACTAAAATATATTGAGATTAGGCTGTAAGATTGTCAGTATTACAGTCATACGTAATTAATATGTTTGAGTCGAAAACGTATTTCAGAATTCCGGGCGACGTTTCATGAGGTAGGGAATCTGCTGTACATGACCTGGCTCCCTAAACACAAGAACCAGGATTCCACACAAAGGGGAATTGAGCGGCTCGTATCTCACGTGCTTAATAGGTCACGTTAGGAAGAGGCTATTGCAGCCTGACTATCTGGCCACCAAACGGCTAGTCCACACAAACACACTTTGAGCCGACTGCAAGGTCTGAGTGTAGGTGTTAGTCGGCAAACTTCCAAACCACGGCGCTAAGCGCACTGTGATAGTCTTGCGCTCAGATCAAATGGGCAGCAGAGAAGACACATGAAAAAGGAGCCGAGGATCACACTTCCTGCTCACGTGAAAGGCGCTGATAGCAAACACGTGCTGTGTGCTTTTGGACGTAAGCATGTGTTATGTAAATGCCGGCGAGGAGACTTGGAAGTGTGATATGGTCGGCGGTGCATTGCCGCAGTTTTTTTCAGAGTTGCGAATGTGTGTGTGGACAGTTGGTGCTCCTGACCCTGGTTCGCCGGTCATTGTGCAATGGATTCGCAAGAGACCGACCAGACCGATGCGGTATATGCATTTTCGGTAACAGTGAGAGCAGGATAGGCTAAGGGTTGTATATTCAGCGCAGCTATTGCTGGCGGTCGCACTGGCTAACG